CTATGAAGCCAGCATCACCCTAATACCAAAACCAGGTAAAGACAACACAATGAAAGAGAATTACAGGCCAATATCCCTCATGAACATAGATGCCAAAATCCTCAACAAAATCTTAGCAAATAGGATCCAGCAGTACATCAGAAAGATCATACACCATGACCAAGTAGGATTTATCCCAGGGATGCAAGGATGGTACAATATCCGCAAATCAATAAACGTGATACATCACATAAACAAATTGAAAGAAAAAAACCACATGGTCATATCAATTGATGCAGAAAAAGCATTTGACAAAATTCAACACCCATTTTTGATAAAAGCTCTCAGCAAGGTGGGAGTAGAAGGATCATACCTCAACATAATAAAAGCCATATATGACAGGCCCACAGCCAACATCATACTCAATGGACAAAAACTAACACCATTTCCCCTACGAACAGGAACAAGACAGGGATGCCCCCTCTCACCACTCCTGTTCAACATAGTACTGGAAGTGTTAGCCATTGCAATTCGGCAAGAAGAAGAAATAAAAGGCATCCAAATTGGAAAAGAGGAAGTAAAACTGTCCTTATTTGCAGACGACATGATATTATACATTCAAAACCCTAGAGACTCCATCAAAAAGCTACTGGACTTAATACATGAATTTGCCAATGTAGCAGGATACAAAATTAACCCCAAGAAATCCAAGGCATTTCTATACACCAATAGTGAACTTTCAGAAAGAGAGATTATAAAAACAATCCCGTTTACCATCGCACCAAAAAAATTAAGCTACCTAGGAATAAACTTAACTAAAGAGGTAAAAGACCTCTACTCAGAAAACTACAGGACGTTGAAAAAAGATATAGAGGAAGACATAAACAGATGGAAGAACATACCATGTTCATGGATTGGTAGAATCAACATCATTAAAATGTCCATACTACCCAAAGCAATCTATAAATTCAACGCACTTCCCATTAAAATACCAACGGCATACTTCAGAGATCTAGAACGAACTCTCCAAAAATTCATCTGGAATAAAAAAAGACCCCGAATAGCTGCAGCAATCCTGAAAAAGACCAAAGTAGGTGGGATCTCAATACCAGATATCAAGTTGTATTACAAAGCCACTGTTCTCAAAACTGCCTGGTACTGGCACAAGAATAGGCATATAGATCAATGGAATAGAATAGAGAGCCCAGAAATCGGCCCGAACCAATATGCTCAATTAATATTTGACAAAGGAGGCAAGAACATACAATGGAGCCAAGATAGTCTCTTCAATAAATGGTGTTGGGAAAATTGGACAGATATATGCAATAAAATGAAACTAGACCACCAACTTACACCATACACAAAAATAAACTCAAAATGGATAAAGGACTTAAATGTACGACAGGAAACCATAAAAATTCTAGAAGAATCCAAAGGCAACAAAATCTCAGACATATGCCGAAGCAATTTCTTCACTGATACAGCTCCTTGGGCACTTGAAACGAAAGAGAAAATGAACAAATGGGACTACATCAAAATAAAAAGCTTCTGCACAGCAAAAGAAACCATCAACAAAACAACGAGAAAACCCACTGTGTGGGAAAACATATTTGCCAATGTCCTATCTGATAAGGGCCTAATCTCCAAAATTTATAGGGAACTCATACAACTTAACAAAAGGAAGATAAACAATCCAATCAAAAAATGGGCATAGGACCTAAATAGACACCTTTCAAAAGAGGACATTCAGAAAGCCAAGAGACATATGAAAACATGCTCAAAGTCACTAATCATCCGAGAGATGCAAATCAAAACAACAATGAGGTACCATCTCACACCTGTCAGACTGGCTATCATCAACAAATCAACAAACGACAAGTGCTGGAGAGGATGTGGAGAACAAGGAACACTTGTGTACTGCTGGTGGGAATGCAGACTGGTGCAGCCACTATGGAGGACAGTATGGAGTTTCCTCAAAAAACTGAAAATGGAACTCCCATTTGACCCTGTGATCCCACTTCTAGGAATATATCCCAAGAAACCAGAAACACCAATCAGAAAGGATATATGCACCCCTATGTTCATAGCAGCACAATTCACCATAGCTAAGATCTGGAAACAGCCTAAGTGCCCATCAGTAGATGAATGGATTAGAAAACTGTGGTACATCTACACGATGGAATACTATGCTGCTCTAAAAAGGAAGGAACTCTTACCATTTGCAACGTCATGGATGGAACTGGAGAGCATTATGCTAAGTGAAATAAGCCAGTCAATGAAGGAAAAATACCACATGATCTCACTCATTCATGGATAATAGAGACCATTATAAACTTTTGAACAATAATAGATACAGAGGCAGAGCTGCCTCAAACAGATTGTCAAACTGCAGCAGGAAGGTCGGGGAGGGTTGGGGGGCAGGAGGTAGGGGGGTAAGAGATCAACTAAAGGACTTGTATGCATGCATATAAGCATAACCAGTGGACATAAGACATTGGGGGATAGGGGAGGCTAGGGGACTGTCTAGGGCGGGGGGATAAAATGGACACATATGTAATACCCTTTGTAATACTTTAAGCAATAAAAAAAAAAATGCTAAAGAAAAAAAAAGAAGAAAAAAAAAAAGAAATTGCCACAGCCAGTCCAACCTTCAGGAACTACTACCCTAGTCAGTTAGCAGCCATCAACGTTAAGGCAAGACCCTTCACCAGCAAAGAGATTATGATTTGAAGGCCTGGGATTGGTGGGGGCGAGGGGTTAGAAGGAGTTAATGGGGGAAAAGAGGGAGGGACATGTAATACTTTCAATAATAAAGATTTTTTTGAAAAAAAGATTATGACCAATTATTAAGGCTCAGATGATGGTTAGCATATTTTAGCAGTAAAGTATTTTTAAATTAAAGCATGTACCGTGTGGTTTTGGACATAATGTTATTGCATACTTAATAGACTACAGTATAGTGTAAATATAACTTTCATATACACTGGGAAACCAATAGATTTATGTGACTTGATTTATGGAAATATTCATTTTACTGAGGCTGTCTGGAGCTGAACCCACAATATTTCCGAGGTAACCCTGTGGTGGAACATTCAGATTACCTCCACCTGAATTGACTGATCAATCTGAACACCACCAAGTGTTGAACAGTATGTACCTCCTAATGTGATGCAGTAGGAAGTATACAGCACCACCTCTGAGCATTCCTGCTTTTAAAAAATTGTATTGGAATCTAATAAAGCCTTCAGAGCCAACTTATGATTTATAGTTAATTTTCACTTATTCCTCTAACAAGAAGAGCAAGCAAAGTGACAACACAAAGATGCAAACAGAGAAATTAGAGTGTAGGCATTCAATAGTACAAGTAACTTGGTTTCTTCAAGAACTCAATAGCATGAAAAAAAGAGACTAGTTTAGATTAAAGTAGATTGCAGACATAACCAAGTGCAATGTGTGCATCTTGTTTGGATGATGATGTAAACATACTAAATGTAAAAAAATTTTTTTGAGATGCTTGAGGAAATCAGAATATGGACTGGATATTAGAGGACATCAAATAATTGGTATGAACTTTGTTTAGTGTGAAAGTGGCCACGTGGTTATGTTTCTAAGAAAATTGCATATTTTCAGAGGACACCAAAGTATATAGAGTAAAATGATATGATATTTGAGATTTGCTCTAAAATGTTTACAGAAATAAAAAAGAAAAGGATATATAAAGCAGGTATGGGTAAAGTCCTGATAATATTTGAATCTCAGTAATAAATTTTTGGGGATTTTCTATATCATTCTTTGTACTTTTCTGTCTTTAAAATTTTTAAAGATATAAAAAAGAACAAGTGCAAAGGACCTAAGGCAGGGGGAGATGATGTTCAAAGGATATAAACAGGTACTTACAGAAGAAATACAAATATACAATAAACATCTGAGAAGATATTCAGCTTTACTGGTAGTTGGGGAAATGCAAATTAAAACAATACAGAGACATGATTTTTTATTCAAAACATTGGCAAAAAAAGGGGGGGGGGAGGCTGGTTAGATCAGATTAGGACCATCTAGTTCTGACCATTTCTGGGAGGGCAAATCGCCTCCCAGTATAGTATTAAATATTCATTAAGAGTAAACATGATATTAGATATGATATTTTGTAGAAATAACAGTGCCAGAAATTAATAATCTGTACTTGGAGATGTCTGAAGCAGCACTTTTTGTATTATAAAAAAAAGTTGAAAACAACCTGAATTATCATAGAGGAATGATCAAATAATGATCATCCATACTAGGGAATGTTATATTGTTTTAAAAAGTAAAAAAAAAAAAATTGTATAATTAAACAGTATATGTTTAATAGTATAAAATTTAGAAAGTACAAACAAGAAAAAAGGAAAAGAATTCCAGACATGGAGAGATCATCTTGGAATATATCATTTCATGTTTTTCTCAGGGTGTGTGTGTGCATGTGTACCCATGCATATGTATGTATACTTGTTTTTCCAATACTTGTTCTTCAAATAAAAAGATATCACATTACACAGTATGTTGTAACGTCTTGTTTTCTTCATTCCCTCATGAATATTTTCCACATCAATATTCACTCTGTAACTTAACCAATCACTATGTTGGGGTATTTAAGTGCATTCCAATTTCTCCTTTTATAAACAGCTTACCCCCGGGCCTGCAAAGATTTGGAGACGATTTGCCGATTGCCTTCTAGAAAGTCCTGGGTGCTGCCAGAGACATTTGAACCAGAGTAGTCAGAATGCGTTCCCATCTCCCGAGTCTGCTATCTCCCCAGATAGCACAACTGTGGTCTTCAGAACTTCTAAAACTTGTCTTATCCTGCCCGTTAGTCATGCAGCCTAACTGGGACTCTGTTCCAGAAATCCCTACACCCTCTCCCTTTCCTCGCCCCATTCCAGCCCCTCCCCACGCACCCGCCCCTCCCCGCCCCCCGCGCTTTCCCGCTCAGCGGTCTGGCCTATGGCAAACGCCAAGAATTAATTAGGGGCGGGGATCAAGGAGAGGCTGTCAGGAGGTCGCCATATTTCTGTACGGCCAGGAGGACGCCCAGGCTGTCGGTGGGTCGCGAGAGGTGCTAACAGGGCGGGGCCACCGCTCAGCTCTGCCGGCCTCACCCCTCCCGCCCGGGACAGGTGGCTGGAGCGCGCCCCGCCCCCGCCAGCTGCGGGTGGGAGCGAGGGAGGGCCGGCCCGGACGGCCGCCGCCAGCTGCGAGTGCGAGTGAGTGAGCTCCAGCCTGGGACGGCCGGGCGAGTAGTCTAGAAGCAGCAACCAAGTATCGTGGCGGCCAAAAAAATGCTCCTGTACCGAGGGGCCCCCGTGGGCCCTGGCGCGCCGGGCAGCGGGTTGGCCCGGCCAGGCGGCAACCCGCAGGCATTTGGGATCCGCCTGAGCACGGTAGGTCGGGGACCCGAGGGGGCGGACGCGCGCGCGGGCCCCGGGGCTGCGGGGGGCGCGCGGGGAGGGCCCGGCGGGCCGAGGCCTCACGCGGGACGGGACCTTCTCTCGCCTCCAGATGAGCCCCCGCTATCTACAGAGCAACTCCAGCAGCCACACGCGACCCTTCAGTGCCATCGCGGAGCTGCTAGGTGAGTGGCGAGGGCGGGCCTGGCCGCGATCGCCCAAGGCACTGGTGCCAACGTGGTGCCGCGGCCGCGAGAGGAATGTGTGGAGCCGCGCGCGGGGCGGGCCGAGACTGGGGTGGGGGCGTCGGGACTGGTCCCCGCTCCGCGGGCGGAGGAGCAGGAGGACGGCTCTCTAGACAGGGACGGTGTTTCGCGAATAAAGCCGAGGAAACAAGGTGTTTCCGAAGAGTTAGGACTCCTGTGTGATTTTTTTCTCTGGCTCCTGATGTTCCAGTCACTTTAGGATAGCTTAGTTAATAATCAAAGGGAGATGGGGCCCCAAGGCAGCTGGGCTTCACAGGGACTGTCTACAGAGGAAAGGCGCCAAGCTAGCATAAGGCCATCGTAGTGCACCCAGTAGGGTCATGAGGAAAGGTCTGGAAAACGGAGTTCTTTAACTTTGGGGACCAAAGAATCTGGGAATGATGGGACATTTCTTAAGAGATGACACGAGTGCATTTGGCTCCCTGCGACTTCGGAGGGCTAGGTCCGTGGTCCAAGAGCGCCCTCACACTGCTGGAATGAATACTGAGCACTTAACCTCTTGTTCCACTGATGTTTGCTTTTGTAGCATTTTCAGTTGATCCCTTGAAGCCAAGTACACCAGCTTTTTGCAGTACTGTGCTGAATACTGTGTGGAAGGCAAAGAAGAAAACCATTCCTGGACAAAATGCAGCAGCATACAGAGCACATTATGTTTCAAAAACTTAAAGAGAGGAGAGATGTTTATGAGACAAGGTAGCACAAAAAATCTTGAAAATGTTTCAGAGCTCCCCAAATGAGCCCCAATTCCTACTTAAGCAATTGCTGTGGCCATGCAGTGTGAATTGTCTTGGACAAGAAGTCAGTGGGCAGCAAGAGAGTTATTTGGAAAGGTGACAGGGAACTTTGATGATTAGTTTGACCATAAAACAGAATGCTTACGATATGTATGACTGTCCATTAGAAGGTGCAGAGAAAAAAGTGACATTGACATATTTTGAATCCTAGAGAACAGGGACTATATTTTTAAAGTCTTGCACCATGTCTTGAGTGAAACTTGGCACAGTGTAATGTGATCTATGTGCATGTAACTTAGTAAAAGAAAAAAAGAGAGGGAAAACTAACAATTTACTTAGTAAGGAATGGGAGACAAATGTGTTTTTTGCTCAGCTAGCTCACAGTGACACTGTGTAAAACCATATGTATCTGCTGTGTACTGAACTTTATGGGTGATTTGTAATTCTGTGTACATACAGTTTTTGTCTTAAGCATTAACTTAACCTAAGCCTGGCCTAAGCTGTCCCATATGAATACCAGTTTTTATGACTATTTTATCTATATACATACATGCACATGTATTTATGCAGGCATAAATGTATGTATACAAATAAAATACTCATAAAAACTAACACATATTTTAAATCCAAATCACAACTCTTTGTGGTCATATTAATAATAGGGAAAAGGGAGAGCAAAATGTTAACTGGTAATCCAAAACTTTCATTGTAGGTTTTCCTTCAACAGTTTTCTTCTCCGCTGGTGCATTAATTTTCTAGTGAATCATTCGTTTAATAAATATATTGAGTACTCACTGTGGGCAAGGCCACCATGTGGCTACAAAAATTCACTCTTCTAGTAAGAGAGATAAAATATGTACAGAAATTTTATGCTTTGTATACCAATAAAATAAAGTGATATATCAGTTAATATATACACATCAAGTGCTGTGGGAGTTCAGAGGAGAGAGGGATGACTTCCAGCTTACCAGGAAGAGGAGTGTTAGGGGAAGCTTTGTAGACATGACATTTGAGCTGAGATTTGAAGGATTGGGACATGTGGATATGGGTGTGGGGAGGGGAGGGCATTCCAGGCAAAAGTAACAACTGCTTGAACAAAGGCATGAAAAATACTGAGTAGCTGAGTTTAATTAGAACATGAAGTTCACAAATAGTCAAAACTCTAGGTCCTTAGAGAGTTTATAAAGAGCTTTCACAAATATATTTTTAACTTTATCTTTTGATATAAATGGTATTATTATTATTTTAATTTTTTATTGATTAAGGTTTTACAAATGTGTCTTTATCCCCCCATTGTCCCCTCATCCGCCCAGTCTTGCCCTCACCCTCATCCCCTGTTGTCTGCGTCCATTGCTTATGCTTATATGCATGCATACAAGTCCTTTGGTTGATCGCTCCCCTTACCCCCACCCTCCCCTACCTTCTCTCTGAGGTTTGAGCATCTAATCGATGCTTCTCTGTCTCTAGATCTGTTTTTGTTAATCGGTTTATGTTGTTCATTATAGTCCACAAATAAGTGAGATCATGTGATATTTATCTTTCTCTGACTGACTTATTTCACTTAGCATAATGCTCTCCAGCTCCATCCATGCTGTTGCAAATGGTAGGAGTTCCTTCCTTTCTACTGCGGCATAGTATTCCATTGCATGGATGTGCCAAAGTTTTTTAATCCACTCATCTGCTGATGGGCACTTAGGCTGATTCCAAATCTTAGCTATTGTAAATTGTGCTGCTATGAACATAGGGGTGCATATATCCTTTCTGATTGGTGTTTCTGGTTTCTTGGGATATATTCCTAGAAGTGAGATCACTGGGTCAAATGGGAGTTCCATTTTTAGTTTTTTGAGGAAACTCCATACTGTTCTCCACAGTGGCTGCACTAGTCTGCATTCCCACCAGCAGTGCACAAGGGTTCCTTTTCTCCACATCCTCACCAGCATTTGTCATTTGTTGATTTGTTGATGATAGCCATTCTGACAGGTGTGAGATGATACCTCATTGTCATTTTGATGTGCATCTCTAGGATGATTAGTGACTTTGAGCATGTTTTCATATATCTCTTGGCCTTCCTTATGTCTTCTTTCAAAAAGTGTCTATTTAGATCCATTGCCCATTTTTTTCATTGGGTTGTTTGTCTTCCTTTTGTTAAGTTGCATGAGTTCCCTGTAAATGTTGGAGATTATAGCCTTACTGGAGATATCATTGGCAAATATGTTCTCCCATGCAGTGGGTTTTCTTGTTTTGTTAATGGTTTCTTTTGCTGTGCAGAAGCTTTTTATTTTGATATAGTCCCATTTGTTTATTTTCCCTTTAGTTTCATTGCCCTAGGAGCTGTGTCGGTGAAGATATTGCTTTGGCATGTATCTGAGATCTTGCTGCCTGTGGATTCCTCTAATATTTTTATGGTTTCCTGTCTTACATTTAAGTCCTTTATGCATTTTGAGTTTATTTTTGTGTATGGTGTAAGTTGGTGGTCTAGTTTCATTTTTTTTTTTTTGCATGTGTCTGACCAAGTTTCCCAGCACCATTTATTGAAGAAACTGTCTTGACTCCATTGTATGTTCTTGCCTCCTTTGTCATATATTAATTGAGCATAGTGGTTTGGGTTGATTTCTGAGTTCTCTATTCTATTCCATTGGTCTATATGTCTGTTCTTGTGCCAGTACCAGGCAGTTTTGAGAACAGTGGCTTTGCAATACATCTTGGAAGGCAGCTATGCTCACCGCTATACTACCAATGCCTTCTGTAATACATCTTGATATCTGGTATTGAGTTCCCTCCTTCTTTGTTCTTCTTTCTCAGGATCACTGCAGCTTTTTGTTTTTTATTTATTTATTTTTTTATTCCAGATGAATTTTTGGAGAGTTCTTTCTAGATCTGTGAAATATGCTGTTGGTATTTTAATGGGGAGTGCATTGAATTTATAGATTGCTTTGGGTAGTATGGACATTTTAATGATGTTGATTCTACCAATCCAGGAACACGGTATGTTCTTCTATCTGTTTATGTCTTCCTCTATCTCTTTTTTCAACGTCTTGTAGTTTTCTGAGTACAGGTCTTTTACCTCTTTAGTTAAGTTTATTCCTAAGTATCTTAATTTTTTTGTGTGCATTGGTAAATGGGATTGTTTTTGTAATTTCTCTTTCTGTAAGTTCACTATTGGTGTATAAAAATGCCATAGATTTCTTGGCATTAATTTTGTATCCTGCTACTTTGCCAAATTCATTTATTAAGCCTAATAATTTTTTGATGGAGTATTTAGGGTTTTGTATGTATAGTATCATGTCATCTGCGAATAATGACAATTTTACTTCTTCTTTTCCAATTTGGATGCCTTTTATTTCTTCTTCTTGTCTGATTGCTATGGCTAGTACTTCTAGTACTATGTTGAACAGGAGTGGTGAAAGCGGGCATCCCTGTCTTGTTCCTGTTCTTAAGGGAAATGGTTTTAGTTTTTGCCCATTGAGTATGATGTTGGCTGTAGGTTTGTCATATATGGCTTTTATTATGTTGAGGTATGATTCTTCTATTCCCATTTTGCTGGGCGTTTTTATCAGAAAAGGGTGCTGGACTTTGTCAAATGCCTTTTCTGCATCTATTGGTATGGTTATGTGATTTTTGTCTCTCAACTTGTTTATGTGATGTATCACGTTTATTGATTTGTGGATATTGTACCAGCCTTACATCTCCAGAATAAATCCCACTTGGTCATGGTGTATCATTTTTCTAATGTAATGCTGGATCCGGTTTGCTAGAATCTTGTTGAGGATTTTAGCATCTGTGTTCATCAGGGATATTGGCCTGTAACTCTCTTTCTTTGTGGTGTCTTTATCTGGTTTTGGGATTAGCGTAATGCTGGCTTCATAGAAAGATCTTGGAAGTGTGCCTACCTCTTGAATTTTTTGTAGTAGTCTGAGAAGGATTGGTTTTAGTTCTTCCTGAATGTTCGGTAAAACTCCCCTTTGAAGTCATCTGGTCCAGGGCTTTTGTTTGCTGGAAGCTTTTTGATTACTGTTTCAATTTCATCAGTAGTTATCTGCCTATTCAATTTTTTTTATTCTTTCTGATTGAGTTTTGGAAGCTTGTATTTTTCTAGGAATGTGTCCATTTCGTCGAGGTTGTCCAGTTTTTTGGAGTAGAGTTTTTCGTAGTATTTTTTGACAATCCTTTGTATATCAGTAGGAT